ACAAATTGTTTAGAAACAGAACTCTTAATCCTTAAAAAGAAACAACTCATCAGTTAGATTTAGACCGTATATGGTCTTTTGGTTCTTTAGTTCTCAAAGAAAAGATTTTGACACTAAACTGTATAAACTTCAATAAACTGGAGTTATTGAGGATAGGTCCTACCGTCACATTGTTGTGTTGCCTATTCTCTGAGCAAACAAGTTTCTTGGTCACCTAACATTGTGGTTCCACTTTGATGGAAACATTGATGATCATTAATCAAAGAACTATAGGTGTACAACAATATATCTCTTTGTGTTTCCTCATATCGAAAATACAAATCTTCTTCACTTGGCAAATCGCAATGTCCATTCTTTAGCTACCTCGTCATGCTTTTCTCTATCCGACAAGTAGAGCCGTGCAATCATTGGTAAAGCTGGATTATCTGGTAACAAAAGAAGAAGAGTCAAAACTGTAAATAAAAAACTAAGGAACTTTCTAAGGCAGACTTGACCTGAGCTAACCGAATCATCAAAAAGGACTTGAAATTGTCTGATCTGATGCATGAGAGTAGAGTAGAAACTTACATGGTTCAGGTTTTAAGAAGATCGATCTGATGGCTTGTAAGACTTTTGTGATTGTAAGAGCTGGACTCCAACTGTCTCTTAGAATATCCACACTTAGATTCCCCGCAGTATCGACATTGCAATGATAGATCCGCGTCTTGAACACCAGCTGCAAATCCTCACCCTCGTTAACCAAAAGACTCGAAAAAAGAAGAAGTGAAACTACTGACATAATGAATGTGCAAGCTCAAAAGGTCAAGAATTTGCAACAAATGTATCCCTAAGACTTTGATGTAAGAAAGAAAGCTATATATCTCCCTCCTACCAAACATTAAAACTCTAGGTGATCTATGTTTCAAAGCGCGACGCAGCTAAAAGCCTTACTCAAATACCAATAGAGATGTTAAAGTGAAAGAGAGCACTCATTGATGATATACAGTAAATTAACACTTCTTCCTAAAGACATCAAGCTACAAACTCAGCATTTGTAATCAAACTTCTAAAACCCCCAAATAATGACCACTTAAATCAGTAAAGCTCCCAAAAATTTTCTACACTACCAACAAAATCACTCAAAATTCTGAGAGAACCCATTTTTTTATTTGAAGAATTAACCAAAAAAGTTTGCAACTTTACACCAAAAAAACCAAACAGAGAATCCAAGTTCATACCTTAGGTGGTTTAAATGGATAATCAGAAGGAAAAATTATATCCAGAAAAAAGATCCCTCCTTCATAAGGAGTACCTGTAAAATCGAATCAAAACCCAAATCAAAAAAACTTGTTTAAACCTAACGATTTCAATCGGATCTTCTAGGAACTAACCCGAGGGTCCAATAATGGTGGCGATCCAATGGTAGAGATTATCTCCTTTTGGCCCAGCAGAACAATCAGCAGGTGGATCAACGTTAAGCTCAGCCATTTCTCTCTGTATCCTCTTCCCAGAAGCAGAAACAGAAGTTTTCGCAACCCAAGACGACGCCGTTCCTGAATATCCGGCGTACATAGCCGTCGGTAATGGCCTGAATCTCCCGCTTCCGCCAGGCGTCATCATCTCCAGTAGTCGTCGTCTTCGTCGACCCTACTACTCTGCTTATCCAATTCCATTACTTCAGCGATTCGCTTCGCAACTCCCATCGGGGAAAGTGTTTTAAAACGCTGCGTTTCGGTCAGATCAAATTAAACAAGATAAAGTAATAATCGCTGACGTGGCGAATAACAAAGAGCAAAATCATAGCTGACGTGGCGAATAACAAAGAGCGCTACGTCGTCAATAATTTTGTAATCTTTTTTTTGGTCAATAATTTTGTAATCATCAATGAATTATTCACATTGTGAGAGCATCGGATCATGATCTTGTTAATACCACGTGAATCCTTAATAATTTCGATCGTTAAATTATTCACAAATTTCATAGTACTTACGATACAAGTGAGAGGTACAAACCAAAATTACCAAAAAAATCTCAATATCAAAATTTTGATTGGGAAATTTGGCTCAATAACAACAAAAAAAATTATAATTTCAAACTATAACCATTTAGCCTGATTCTAGTGTATTCCATTTCATT